CAGGGCCGTGAAGAATGACCGCATGCGCTTACGTCTACATATGAATAGGTATGCTTGTATGCATTTATGTATATCAACTGGTTGTCAGACATGTAAGAAATGTACACATTCGTGCAAGTATATATGTAAATAGACAAGCTTGTAATCATTTGCGTTTTTCGAGTTAGTCGAACTAGAAACAAATGAACACATGCGTGTACGTATGTATATATATGGACATATACATGTTTTGGTCTAGATATCAGCTCGGAGCAGGCGACACATACTTCGTAAGATAGCTACACATGCGCTTCACCTCTCTCACACACCACAGACACATGAACAAACAAGATAATATATACACAGACATGAGTATACGAACATACTGACCCACACGTGGCCACACAAGCTTACCATTACCACTGTTCTCTGCATAGTCGGTCCTCAATGACTCATCCTTTCGCCTCTGTGCCAGCGCAGCGGAAATACTCTCCAAACTGGTTTCTGTGTTGGCCCTGATAAGTGTATTTCATTGTTAGTTTCACATTGTACCATTTGGCAAGGTAGTTTTGAACAGTTTGACTACCACTAGAGATTTCTTGTGCCTAGATCTATATATATATATATATATATATAGAAAGACAAATAGATATGTAGATAGATAGATAGATGTCTTCCGGTATAAACAAGTCTATACCGGAATACGGTTTATATCGATAGATGGACAGATAGACAGATATATATATATATATATATATAATATAAATAGTATGAAATACCTCGTATACCTAAAATATATTACATATGTATATATATATATATATATAACGTATATATATTATGCCATACCTTGACTTTTGCCGCCTTGTGCGTTCTAGGGCGAGTCTCAACTCGTCGTCATCGTCCTCGCCAGCATCCAAATCAGCCGCTTTCATTCCCCACTTACGCGGAGCCGCCTACAAATGGGTGCAGTTATGACTATGTTAAGAAACCCATACCTTCGTAAAAGTAGCACAGTTACAAACTTAAAGTGTTGATATATTGCTTACCTTGAAAACAAGGTTATACCGAACGATGATCAATCAGGACGCGTGCATGCACATACGTATGCCTACACGTTGCATATTCTATAGTAGCACATAGTGTGCCTAGTGTGCCTGCCTCGTCATGCACACACATCACCGCCTCCAGTATAAACAAGCCCTGGTTGACAAACAGTGTCATCTGCGCGCATGCGTCTAGTTTCTATTTTATTTCTTTCAGTAATGATTGGTATATTAATAACACGTCTACACATACACATACGCATATATAAACAAGTATATATATATATACATATATACAGCGTGTGATGTCACATAGTGTACCCCTCTCATCTTTCACATTAATGTATGTCCTGGTGTCATTCAGTCAACTGAGCGCAGGCGTCTAGTTTCTACTACTTCCCTTCCGTTAGTGGCTAGTCTATCAATACGTATAATAGTTCACGGTGCATAAACGTGCACATACATACACATACTTTATATATATACATACATAAGCATACTTTATATACACATACATACACATACTTTATATATACACATACATAAGCATATTATATATACACATACACAAGCATATAATATATACACACACATACACATACTTTATATATATACAGACATAAGCATATTATATATACACATACATACACGTACTTTATATACACAAACATAGGCATACTATATTATATACACATACAAAAACATATTTATATATAGCACGTGTAGTTCATAGTCTACCCACCTCATCGTTCACATCACCGCCTTCCGGTATAGACAAGTCTTGGTTGTCCAGAAGGTCATCTGCTCGCATGCGCCTACTTTTAGTTTTCTTTTTCTTTTTTTTGGAGGGCTTTTTGAAGGCCACCATCTCCTCCGTTGTGTAGGCATCCGCACGGGCACTCACAGCGATATCCTGCACACTCTGTGCACTCTTCTTGAGCTCTGCTAAGACCTTTATCAGATCGTGAATGTGTGAATGGAAGATATGGATGTGCCGTTGAGGACGAAAATCTATAAACAATATATATATATATATATATGGTTTTTTAAGTATGTGCACACAATAGAACTCTAAACTGTGTCGTTTCCGTTTACATTTAATCGAGGCATAGCGCTCAAACCAACTCCCACCTTTTGCCTTCTTTCAGCATCCTCATCTCGTCCCACTACACCATACTCTCCTAAAACCATTTTTTTTGGCCGCTTTTCCGTCGATTTCTTCGTCATATTTGGCCAAAACCCCTTTTTTTGGTGCAGGCTGTCCCGATTTCTCATCAAATTGGTCGTCATCGTAGGCGTTGTAGCCAGGCTTGAGCTTTGCCATGTCATTGCGCTCTTTGGTGGCGGTATTATCCACCATATTGACATTCACGAGCACATCATCTGTCATGTTCATGCAAGGATAGATAGAATAATCATTGAAACATACAACACGAACATGTCATACCTACATGTAGATACACGTTGCCATTCATTCTAGCTACATACACATGTAAACTACTATATATATTCACTGTCCCAAAATATGCCCCCACGACACGGTTGGTAGTTTTTCTCTGCGTGATGCAAGCTTGAATAGTAGAATGTGGGTGTACCATTAATTGTGTTTTGTGCAACTAAGCTCTAAACAGTGAGAAATAATCATACTGAAGTCAGAGATCACTACAGTGAAAGACCATCACACATGCCAGACGCAATAAAATCAATCTACATTCGCTTGTTATCGTCCGATACACAAGTATCACTCAAGAGCACCCAATACACACAGGGAATACATCAACGTGTGAATATATATATATATATATATATATATATATATATATATATATAGTGTGTGTGTGTGTGTGTGTGTAGTTATATATATATATATATATATATATATATATTATATATATATATATATATATATATATATATATATATATAATA